AAAACATTTTGTGAGACCGTCCATAAAATCGGTCGAGTCGGGTCGGGTCGAGATGATAATGTAATATTTATACGAAAAAATATAATACTAATAAGGAATAAAATGTTTATTACTTATAAAGAAAAATGTAATATTTTTGAAGAAAAATATAATACTTTTACATTTTTTTTATTTAAAAGTATTACATTTTTCCTTGAAACATTTCATTTATTAGTATTACTGTTTGTAATATAAGTATTACATTTCCATCTTGACCTGACCCATTTCACGGATAAGAATCCTTCACACGATCTCACAAGAAAGCCACTCATTATCTTTATTTTTATTTCTTTGTTGGAACTAACTTGTCTAAAAAAGTTACAATCGAGATTATAATTCGATCTATTTTTTATTAGAAAAATATGACTCCTACCCTCAAATTCTACTCCCAACTTTTACTCTCTCTCACAAAATTTTGATTTTGACATTTTTATTGAGACTCACATGATGAAGATAACTAATCACCAATTACCACATAAGAGAGTAAAAGTGATGGAGTAGAAGTAGGGAGTACATCTAGTATAACTGTTTTTATTATCAGCTTAAGAGTCGCTAGCTACTATACTTTAATTTCAATAAATCAAAATTAATTCATCACTCCTTTGTAATTTGTAAAGTAAATTAATGTAGATTATAGCATGAAATAGGGCGGATCGGATGGGATGGGAGGAAACTTCCTTAGCTTGGTGCCACAATATAATTGAGCAAATTAAAGTTGGGAGGAAAGAAGCAAAATATGTAGCGATGGATGGAGCAATTTCGCACCCGTTTTCTTCTTGCTGTCCTCTTTGTTACGTGAGGAAGTCGTCATGTCGTATATATTGCAATTTGCCACTACAAATCTAATTTCGGAAATCGGATCCTTATGATCTATTTTTGGATTATTATATTCTCATTTATGACTATTGTAGTCTTATATAATCAAGAGTTAATACCTATTTATGTCTCTCGACTATTAAGTATTGTTTAATTTAATCATTGACTTTGAAAATTATCTAATTTGATCTTCTAACTTTAAAATCTCACTCAATTTGGTCCTCTGTTACAAAATTCATCATCCAAAAGTTGTTAAACTGAAGGGCAAAATGGTCATCCTATTGTATTTTTCACCTCCCCCCTTCCCCCCACCCCTTTTCTCAGGCATTGTCTTGTATGATCGCTTTTTGAAGTATTGTCTATCCAATATATTCTAATATGAAAGTTGCCATTGTATAGGAGTTGATGGCTACCATCTTAAGGCCAAGTATGGGAGACAGATGCTCACAACCAGTGTATACATTCTCTGTAGATTTTATGTTAAGATTTGTGGAATGGGGATGAGTTTTACAGGTCAAGATGCAAAAGTACTAGTGAGTGATAGCTTTGTCACCAGTGTCTATGCAATGCACTTAGGGGAAGAATTGGGGAACAAAACAGAAGAGAGAAAAGATTAGGGTTGAGATGAAGAAAAGGGAGAGAAAAAAGGAGATTTATTTTATTACTAAGCATAACTTCTCAGTACATCCCAAGGGGATTAAATACAACGTCAAAAACAACCCTCCTTTACTGGATTCGTAACAGAATAAGATTTCGAAAGGTAGTGAAAAACGACGTTGTCTGATGAGGTTGTTCAACCGATTCCAGCTACCAGCTTAAACGATGACGTTGGACCCTTCATCTTTAACGGCTCTCTTATGCTACTTCATACGACGCCGTTTGCTTCCTTCGTTCATCGTCCCTCCCATTTTCAACCATCTATTTCCCTCATTTGGTCTTCCTCCCTTTCCTACCACCTTCCACACCATTTATGAATCCTTCCGGGGCTTTACATCACCCTCCCCTCTAGAGGATCCTTGTCCCCAATGATCGAATGAAGGAAATTGGCTCTGAATGTGATAATAATCCTCCCAAGTTGCTTCCTCTTGAGGCAAATTAGCCCACTAGACCAGAATTTGAGTCACTACTTGGTTATTCCGCTTTACCAGCCTTTTACCCAGTACAACTAAAGGTTCTACCAAGATCTGACCTTCTTGCCCAACTATTGGGGGGTCAAGTTTAGCTACCACTCCATCTCCAATCCTCTTTTTGAGCTGGGAAACATGAAACACTGGATGTAGTAGTGTTCCTGGGGTAACAACAGTCTGTATGCAACTTCTCCAATCTTTTCTACCACCTTATAGAGTCCATAATACTTAGAGGATATCTTCATATTACCCTTAACAACCAAGACACATGTCTATAGATCAAGTTGGACTTTAAGATAGACTCAATCCCCTAGTTTCAGTGACCTTTCACTCTTTCCCTTATCTGCTTGCATTTTCATTCTATTCTAAGCTTGTTTTAGATTCTCCTTCAATGTTGCTAACACAACATTCCTCACTGTCAGCCAACTGAGGTCCCCATCCCCTGGATTTGAATTGAAAGCCATTAAGGGGAGATGGTAACCATATAGAGCTTGGAATACAATGATGTACACTTGAGGGAGGAGTGGTAGTTAGTATTGTACCACCATTCTATCAAGTATAGCCATTTAACCCAACTCTTAGGCTTCTGGAAAATCATACACCTTAAGTAGCCCTTCACACACTTATTCACTCTCTCAGTCTGCCCATCTGTTTGAGGATGATAAGCAGTTGAAAGGTTCAACTTCATCTGCATGTTCTTAACAAAGTCTGTCAAAACTTACTAGTGAAAACCTTATCTCTGTCTGAGATAATCTTACTTAGTGTTATGCTAATCCTGTGTGTTACTTGTGTTTTATTCTTGAATTAATTTCAGGTTATCCTGCATGAGCATTGGGCATGAGAGCGAATTGTTCCACTTGGAGTATTATTTATTGAAATTTTTTAGTTAATTAGTTAGTTAGGTGGCTAGTTAGTTGGATTAGATTCGTTTATGTTATCAATTAGAAACCTAAATTTAAATTTTTGGTTTAGCATTGTGTTTGGGTATAAGTAGGTACCTGGACGTGGCGGTTTGGGGTGGATTTTTATTTTATTTTCCTTGACTCTATTACATTATAGTATCTGTTCATCTATACTTTCTCAACCTGTTGAATAGGGATGTCAACTGCACCCACACCCGACGGGGAACCCGATTCCCCGCCCATACAAGGACGGGGATGTGGAAAGAAATAGGGGATCGGGGATGGGGATGAGGGCAATTTTGAATTTCCCGCCGGGAACGGAGGCGGGGATGGGAAGTACGCTCCCCGCCCCGCCCCGTCCCCGATATATATATGTGTGTGTGTGTGTGTGTGTGTGTGTGTGTGTGTGGCCACACAACACACACATATGTATTACTTTGTATACAATATATATAATTTTAGAAAAATTATTGTCATTGTATGTCATGCTTATGAAATGTATATTTAAATAACATGTTTAATTGTAAAAATATTGAATAGTATTTTAAGTTGGGGATGAATATATATATGCGTTATTTATTTAAATGTTTTTAATTTTGTTTATAACTCACTAACGGGGTGGGGAATCTCCGTCCCCGAATAATCCCTGTGGGGATGGGGATGGGGATGGGGGGATTTTTCCCTTCCCCGACGGGGATGGGGATGGGACGGGGAATGGAAAGAAAATCGGGGGCGGGGATGGAGGGTATGTCCCCCGCCCCCACCCCACCCCGTTGACATCCCTACTGTTGAAGCACAAAGAGTTACTGACTCTATTACATTGTAGTATCTGTTCATCTATACTTTCTCAACTTGTTGAAGCACAAAAAGAGTTATTGACTCTATTACATTGTAGTATCTGTTCATCTATACTGTCTCAACCTGTTGAAGCACAAAGAGTCAACACCGCCTCGAGGCTCAATCTCATGACCTCCCATATGAGAGAGTTACTACATGCCATCTGAGCATAAGGTGCTTGGCTAATACATGTTTAATTAATTTGGTTGATCCTTAATAATTTATCTTGGGTTTTTAAATGGGGTGTTACAGTCGTATGAGCGCATGTCAACATTTTGTCGTCATCTATACTCCAAACTTCTTGACTACCCTCCGAGTTGGCCGGTGGTGAAAATTGAGAATTTTTTGAAGATGGTTGGGAAGAAGAAAATTGGGTTGGGAATTTTAATAACTTGAGTAGCTTCTTTCCATTGTGATATGCAAAAGAAATTGTTTTAAAATGTAGGAATTGAGAGAATAATATGATTGAATTGAGAGTTGGATGAAAGTGAAAAAATTGTAGAAATAATAGGTATTTATAGATAAAATAATAATAAATAAATAATTTTTCTTATATTAAGCCAGGCATGCACGACCAGAAGCAACGACATAAAATATGGTCGTTGTTAGTGATGGCTAGCAACAACCAAATTAAATGGCCTCAATTGAGAGTGGCCGCCAGCAGTCGACCAAGCGGGTGCATGTAACATGCCCGCTTGAGAGGCTAGTGAGACTGACTATTTTTTTTTAAACATGCAAAAACTTGAAACTTGCAGGATTAAAAAAAAAAAAAAAAAAAAAAAAAAAAAAAAAAAAAAAAAAAAACCCTTCCCCCATCAACAAAAACCAATTCCAAAAACTATTAAAAGTCGATTGATGATGATGCTCTTAGGAAGGTGGGTAGCATTGTAAGGAACTTTAATGATGTAAGAACAATTTTGTCTAATAAAAAATAATAGTACAATATTTGTAAAATAATGTAAAATTGTACTATTATAGAAATATAGACAAAATTTATTAATTCCATAATGACCTAAATCATTCCTAATAATGCAAAAGCATAATTAAACTATTGAGTTTTGTTCTAAATAATCAAAAGAAAAGAAAAAACAAATTAACCTAGATTCGTTTTTAAAAGAATTGCAAGAAAATGATTTTAAGGTTCCTTATTTGTAATCTTTGATGCTCAACTTTGAATGGTATGTATATACTCAAAAAAATAATATTAAAAAAATAAATAAATAAATAAAAATAAAAACCTCAACACTCTGAATGATTTGTTATGAAGTCCAGAAATCCATTGAATCAATTAATTTTATGATTTATAAATGCAATGGCATTGAATTCCACAAGATTTGTCAGTCAAATGATCATCTGTATGAATGCAATACATACAAAAGATCTTGAAACAAATTCATGTCTCTATGGAACCAGTAGGCTTCAGAATCCCCAATCTGGACTAGCATATATGCATTCTGCACTTTGTCAAACGCTCTTTTGTACATGTTATAGCAGAAAGGTTGCAAGTGCTTGGAAGATAGACTTGGCGCTTCCCCAAATGTTATGAGGTCCAGAATCTTGCCTTGCACCAGATGACACTCCATTGATATGATCTCCCGGTCTTCCCTGAACATAACATTTTATTTCGGTTCAGCATAGTATAGTGAATCATCTCAATCTCGTATATTGATAGCAAATAATATAATCCCAAATGAAAGACAAGCATAGATTTCATAATGCATGATAGATTTACAATGGCACTTGACTACCTTTACTGCATCCTTGAGGGGCCCCCAGCATTCAACGTGGTTGTATTTCTTTGAGCTAGAATGGAAGAAGACTCGAACTAAAGCATTCGTTAGCTCGGGATTCTCTTCGAAGAGAACTGAATCACCATATAAGACAGCCTCGAGTACCTGATAGAGAGAGTATAAGAATTGAAAGCAATCTTTTGAGCAGATACTAGCTAGCTAGCGGAACAAAAATTAAGTTTTTCAACGCACAATGCCCTGACAAGATTGTGGAGGCCAATGGAGGGAAAATCACGATGGCTCAGTGGTCCAGTAAGTGGGAGGACCAGTTTCTGGTGCCCACAAGAGGGTGAAACTCCCACCACACTGGGCGGCTGCCAAGACTCAATCTTGCGTCCTTGCCCATAATCTACCACCACCCAGGAATCAACTGAGCTACCCGTGCATGTGGGCAATATACAGATATCCTTGCCCACAAAGGCAAAATCCTTTGCTCCAAGGGCCTGACAAGATTGTGGAGGCCACTGGAGGGGTAAATCACGATGGCTCAGTGGTCTATTAGGTGAGAGGACCAGTTTCTGGTGCCCACAAGAGGGTGAAACCCCTACACTGTGCAGCTGCCAAGGCTCTATCTTGCTTCCTTGCCCATAATCTGCCGCCACCCAGGAAGCAACTGGGCTGCCCGTACATGTGGGCAATATACAGATACCCTAAGAGGACAGGTTGTAGCTGTTTTTTGACAAACTTACCAAAGGCAATTCCTTGGAGAAAATTAGGTATCTAAACTCTGCAGCTAACTCCTGCAAGAGATTCGGTCCACTCACATAGCAATGGACATCAAGGCACATGTTTCCCTTCTCTTGTGTCCATTCAGCCACCACATCATCCTTGTTATACCACCCTTTCAACTGCCATGGAAACACATCTCAGAATTTGAATATGAAGAAGTCAGTTTTGCTCAGCAGCTGTTTCAAACATTATGAGTATAGAATGATTACCTGATCGAGGTTGATGATATTCGAGATGGTTAATGTCAAATTCGCGGTAAAATCACAATGTGAAAGTGTATATGTTCTTGGCACAACTCTGCTATATGTATCAGTCTCTTCTCCAGTAAATGCAACTTTCAACTTAGAAGCTTCAAATCTTGCTGGAGGACCTAACAGTCTAACAGCCTGGCAGCAGTGGCACCAAATGATTCACCAATTTGGCACTAAATTCTCAACACATTATATACCAATTTTCTAAAATCCTTTTCTTCATACATCTATATATATATATATATATATATATATATATAAAGGAAAATTGCACTTTTCGCCCCTAAGTTATAGGATAATTATAGGGTTCGTCCGTACTTGTTTGTCATTTTACTAACAGGCCGTTCTCACTTCTCTATGGCCCTGTTTGGTAAAAAATTGGCCTATAGGCCAATTTTGACTTTTTTGATCACTATTAATTGTTTGATTTAGTTAAAATATCAATATAAGTGTTTGGTTAATTAACTTTTTGCAACTCCAAAATGCTAAAATTCAAAAAGCTACTCCAAACAACTTTTTCAATTAGCTTTTTTAGAAAAGAAATTATACCAAACAACTATCAGTTAACAGCTAATTTACCAAACATTTTTTTACAACAGCTAATGTTATCAACTAGTTATTCCCTCTAATTAATACAATCAGCTAATCTATCACTAACAGCCCTTTACCAAACATGGCCTATATAACTTTGAAAACAAAGTATTTTATTAAAAAGTACAAGCAAGTCTCATTTCTCATTTGCGCGCGTGCCCGTGAGAAAAAACTTTTATGCTATACAATTTAAATTCTTTCTTTCAATAAGAAAATTGTATATATACTAGTGCAAACCCACATCTCTCTTCTAACATGGGAGTCTTCTGAACTCCATTTTTCACTACTTTGAAAGAATCAATTTTTCACACACATTATCCATTTTATGCATATAATATATCAAATTAAACTTCTCCTTTAAAAACACCCGAATCCACTTTAACTCGACCCAAATCAAAAAATGAACAATTACCCATATAAAATGCCATTTTTAGCCAAATTTTCCAACATAAATATAAATATGATAAGTGACCAAAATATTTGTTGTCAGCTGCGGAATACAGAAATGGAATCAAACCCAGATTAAACAAAATGTTTATACTTGTTAACAATGGCATTTACTCAAACTTTGAAAATTGAGTCATTATATATATATAGAGAGAGGGAGAGATACCTGGAAGACAAGGGCATTGTAGGTGGGTCTTCTGGAGGAGGAAAGAAGAGCAGGAGTCATGGACGGCTTGACGTGGCAACTGTAACAAGGGGAACTTGAAGAAGAAGAAGAAGAAGAAAATGTAGCAGCATTTTGATGGATGAAGAAGTGGGTATTGGCCATGGAATGCATGACAAATTCATCCTCTCTCTCTCTCTCTTCTCCTCCTTATTCTCTTCTCTCTCTAAACGCCTCCATCTATCGCTGTGTGTGTAAGTTTGTGGCAGCGAGGCTAGTGATCGAAACTAAAGCAAAAGAGAGAGAATGGGTTTTGTGGATAGAGGGCGACACACATTGTCACATTATTAATTTTTTCATTTTTTATTCTTTGATTTCTTAAATTATTTTACGTTTTTAGAGGGTCCACAAAATCCTTTAGGAAATTTGTCGTCCAATCACGTACTCACACCTGTCCCACAGTCTTACCATGTGGTAGGGATACAGACTTGGTCTTCGGCTCTTGGCATACCTAATAACCTAGGAAAATTGTCAAATACGCCCTCAAACTTAAAAATTAATTAGGCCCTTAAATTTTTTAAAAGTGCAATTACACTCATTAACAATTCATTTAGGTGTAATGAAATCCAAAAACAAGTTAATGACCTGCTATCACAGGTCAATACGGTTCAGGCCACCTTCCGGTGAATTTTTCGGCAAAAAAAAAGTGACCAACAACCGACCTAGATTTGTCGAAAATTTCGCCGGTCACTTTTTTGTCGGAAATTTCGCAGGTCACTTTTTTTTTTTTTTCGGAAGGTGGCCTGAACGCTAATGACATGTGATAGCAGGTCATTAATTTGTTTTTGGGTTTCATTGCACTTAAATGAATTGTTGAGGGGTGTAATTGTGCCTATAAAAAGTTTAGAGGCATAATTAACTTTTAAGTTAAAGTTCGAGGGCCTATTTGACCCTTTTTCCAATAACCTAATAAATACCGAGTATAAAATAATGTATATCCAATTAGAACCAAAAATATGGTTACAAGTTGGATTCTTGCAATATATTGATCATTTTAGTTTAAGTTGATAGATTTTTTTTTAAAAAAAATCCATTACTAATTAAAGTTATAAGGTGAGAGCCAAGCATCTTGTGCTCAGATGGTATGTAGTGATTTCTCTTATGTTGGAAGTCATGAGATTAAGTTTTAGTGGAGGTGTCGTTAATTTTGTGTGCTTGTTTGAATACAGATATTACAATGTAATAGAGACATTTATGTACACTTTCAATAGTAGTCGCTAATTTCCTTTGTCATTATTAACTTTTACATACAAATTATGCATTGTTGAAATAATTTTATAAATTTTTATTTTCATTAGTCATTAATTACATAATTTTATCAAAAATTTTAATTGAATAACATTAAAAAGTATAATTTTTTGTAAAATAATTGGGAATGAAACTCTCTCATTGATAACTCCAATCCAAAGAAAGTATAGAAGTCTAAAATTAACACCCCCCCCCCCCCCCCCCCCCGGACTCTTATAGAAGTCTAAAATTAACGCGCGCCCCCCCGCCCACTATAAGAGTCCAACCACATACCAGTTCAAGACCGAATTAGTCTTAAATTGGCCTAGAGCAAAAATAATAATTATATCATGTTGGAGATTTATATAGTAATGGAGATTAATGTTTCAGATGAACTACTATGAAAGTTTAAAATAATATTTGAAGTTGTGAAATTATAAATATTATTTTAGTTTGGTAGAAAGTTATGGAGAATGAGTTTGCTGGAAGGCTTGGTCTATTCTCCAACACTGGAGGATTATTTTCCAACATTTGGTATTATATGTAATATATTTATATATGTGTTTGTATTGTATATATGTTTTTGCACTTGTACGTTTTACATGGCTAATATACCTGAACATCGGAAATAGATATATAACTAATTGTTACCCGGAAAAAGGGGTACACTAATGAGTTCTTAATGGGTGTTGAGGAATTTGTAAATTATGCAATCACACTTCGTGTATACGAGGCTTTAATGAAGATTATGTGCCCGAATAGAGTACACTTGTCTACGGATGATGTTCGTGTTCATTTGTATAAGAAGTGTTTTGAACCAAATTACTTGATTTGGACATGTCACGGTGAGCTTGCCCCCTCAATACAACCATATATGAACGAGGGCCATAGTGAAAACAATCGGTATGAAGTATGAACAAATGATTTTTTTATGTATCTAGTCCATCATTTTTTTCATTAAAATGTCGAAAATGACCAAGACGCGTGGAGATAAATTCTCATCCACATATTTATTTGTTGAGATAATCATGGAGTTTGTTATCAACTAAGCGTCCGTTTGAAAAGGAGGAAAATGACTTCTGGAAAATGTTTTCTGAAAAATGAGTCATTTTTCGGAAAATGTTTTCCTTTGTCGTGTTTGGCTGCACAACAGAAAACTATCTTTGTGTCTTTGGTTCATTTTATGAAAAAAGAGGTAGAATTGTATAATTAAACATTTTATATAATTAATTATTTTATTTAAAATAAAAATATTTATAATAATATTTATTTATTTTTTTAAAATCAAATAATATTAATTATTAAAAAGTTTTTAAAATAATAAATAAAAACAAAAAAAAAAACGGTGCAAACCAGAGAGAAGTTCTCTCTGGTTTTCCTCATTGGAAACCAGATTGGTTTCCGACTGCAGAAATCAGAGTAGATCTCTTCCTCTCGTTTTTTTTTTTTTTTTTTAGGTTTCTTGCGTGGTTTTCGCCGGAGATATTGTTGTATGAGCGGAAACCATTGTTGTATGTTTGGCGGAAGTCATTTTCCGCCAAATAAGCTTGATTTTTCCCAAGTCAACGAAAATTGTTTTTCGTTGACTCGGTTTTTCAATGTCATCCAAACATGGAAAACCCGGAAAATGATTTCCAAAAATCATTTTCCGGATTTCCAAACACAGCCTAATCTTGGACTTTATCTTCATCTCACAAATTTGTCTCCATGAATTACAACCACCACTTTTCTTCATCCCTCATAATTAGGCTGCTTCAATATATATTACAATACTCCGACCAACGGTGGTCGGAAAATTCGGAACCAAGAATGTTTCTTGTTCCGAAGCTGTCCAATTGCTAGGCTCGTCGTTTTTTTCCGATGACTCTATAAAGCCTTGTCGCTAATGAGGCTTTTTTTTGGATATCCAAATTGGTCGAAAAAGGTGTTTCTAGCTGGATTAAGGTCATTTTCGATCACTTTTGGGCAGTGATGTAAAACTCGGCCGCCTAGCCGCCTAGGCGCTAGGCGGCCACTTACCTTGGAGTTTTGGCCTATAGGCGGCCAAAACTCGGTCGGCCGCCTAGGCGGCCTGGGCGGCCGCTAGGCGGCCTAGGCGGTCAAACTCGGCCGAGTCGGTCAACTCGGCCGAGTCGACCGATTTCGTCCGATTTTGACCGTTTTTGACCAATTTTGACCGATTTTGTCTGATTTTGACTGATTTTGACCGATGTCGTCTTTCATTAATTATTGATTTTAATATTATTATGACATTATGACTTATAAATTATCATTATTTCATTTATTTAGATGTGTTATTTGAGTGAACGTTGAAAACAACCTCATTATAATTGTCGAACTACAAGTCTGTCACTATTTTTTTTAATTTTTTTGGTGCCCGCCTAGCCCCGCCTAGAATCCGCCTAGGCGCCGCCTAGACCGCCTAGGCGCTAGGCGCTGCCCGGCCGCCCGACTAGCGCCTAGCGCCTACTGCAACCTTGCTTTTGGGTAGTCAAAAATTTGTTGATTTTCAGCAGTGAATGTCGGTAGTATTTGTATATCTATATAAACATTAGTACATTTATGTACACGTGTTCATCAACTTACACATATATGTCTGTATCTATATTTTAGTTAATACTCTGTATTTTTTTTTATCATGTATATTTATTATTATATTTTATGTATTATTTAGTTGTTTATTTTCTATATGCCAATAATCCTGAAATGACTTTTAATATCAATGCAATAAATTTAATTTTTAATTAAATTTGAAAATATAATAAGAATGAAAAGTATTGATTAGTTTTTTTCAAACAATATTTTTCTCATGTATTTGTATTTTTGAAGTGTCTTTTAACTTTTCAAATACAATAAATATTAATTTTGATTAAATTATGAATTATTATGACATTTGTAAAAGGTTTTGACATGATGTCTTATTTACTATAGACTTATTCTACACTTTCACAATTTTATTGATTTTTGTGCAATATATAAAGTAGCATCTGACACTTTATAATTTTTACTTGTTGCATCATATCATCCTTATTTTATGTGTTAAGATTAATATGTTTTAAATATACATATTTCTTTACTAATTTTATTAACCTAATTTAGTAAATAATATTAATTATTAATATCATTTATTATTTAATTGTTTATATTAAATAATTAAGTGTTAATCATATTTTATTAATTAAATATAAGTAATTAAAATATATTTTAAAATTCATACTCTGCCAATTATTTAATTATAAATAAAGGGTATTAAGTTATTAGCTTCAAGTATGTTAACATAATGAATAAAGTTAGTAAGATAAAGGGTACAAAAATTAACGCTGTTATAATGGTAAGGGCATTTTTGTTTTAGTAAATAAAAAGAACCACTGTCAATAACCTTGTGGTCTAGTGACATGAAGTGACTCTCCTAAATTGGAGGTCATGGGTTCAATTTATAGTTGTGTTTTAGTAAATATTACACTATAACATAGTCAGTACTACTCAAAACAAATAAAAGTAACAACTTTTTAAATATAATATAATACTTTTGAATGAAAGAAGAGTATACAATATTTGTAAAAAAAAAAAAAAGTATAAATTATAGACAATAATTGGGACTCTATTTTCATGTATGATGTATAGTTAGACAAAGTGCTTATTGTAGATTTATAAGTACAATGCGAGTTCTTAAGCAAACTACTATGTATTCTAACACTCGACTGGATAAAGAATTAAGATACCATATGAATTTTTCTGAAAGGTCAAACCAAGGAGTGTATAAAATATGCTTTCATTAAAATCAATTCCCTTAATCTCAATGGTGTTATGAGAGTTGAAGTAATAATTTTTGTATAATACAATGCATTATTATTATGAAAATAGTTGAGTACTCAAATATTTCATACAACAAGAGGGGATGTTTAAAATATTGCTTATTAGCCAAAGTTTTATTTGGTTTGTTTGACCAACTTTAGTTAAATTTTTTGTGTCAGACATGTCATGAGCAACCTTAACCTCCCTATATTAGAAGAACATTTTCACCATTAAAAATAAGTATTTCATTTATTTTTTTCTTCAAACAAATTATTACTTATATGTAGGTATAAGTACGGTTCGATTCGAACCTAACCGGACACTGTAACAATTGAACCGGAATAGTAGGGACGGATTTGGTTAAGATTTAGAATTGAAATAAAATAAAATAAAATAATTGTTGAGTTTATACTATTTTAAAAATAAGAAATAAAATTTAAAATAAATAAATAAATTCTGAATCGGCAATTCAAAATCGAAACTGGAACCAAATCTAACCGATTTATCATTTATCAATAGTGTTTGATCATTTTCACATTTATTCTAATTTCACATATAAGTAAATATTACTGCGATTCGGTCCCGGTTCATAGTTTTGGGGAATGATAAATTGTAACGGGGACCTTTTAGGAAGGTTCCATTTTTTGTTTAAACCGCCAGTTCGGTTCTAGTTCACGATTTTTGGAAATTATAAATTGGAACAAGAACCTTTTAGGAAGGTTCCAGCTTTGGTTTAAACCGCAAATTCAGTTCTAGTTCACGATTTTTGGAAATTATAAATTGGAACAAGAACCTTTTAGGAAGGTTACCGTTTCGGTTTGAACCGCTAGTTCAAAATTTATTTATTTATTTTTGTAAATTCTATTTATTATTTTTAAAATAGTCTAAATTCAACAATTATCTTATTTTTTCGGTTCTAAGTCGTAACCAGAATTGTCTCTACTGTTTCGATTCGATTGCTACAGTGTACGGTTAGGTTCGAACCAAATCGTGATCATCCATACATATAAATGGAAATGAAAAATAAATGAAATACTTATTTTTAAGAATAAAAATGTCCATCTAATATAAAAGGAGTAAAAACTGTCACTTTTAACATTTAACATAATTAATAACAGATGTAGATACATGAATAACTCAAGAAAAAAACTGCTATAAACAAAGAGAAAATGTCATTTTCCCCTTTATTTCTAAAAGAAATTCCAAGTACTATATATGCACTCATATATATGTTGCCCAAAATGTTGAAGCCCTTCTCTTTCTCCCCCCCTCTCCCTCTCCCTCTGTAACCTCACTCCATCCAAAGCCACCAATCACAGACCCCACAAATCTCTCTCCTTAAACCCCTCAAATTGCTAGCAATGCCAGCTTCCTCAGGTGCCCTCCAGTCTCGCTATCTTACATTTAAATTTTCAATTTTTTTTTCCGTTTATATATATCTTCGTGTTTGTTCTGATTTGTGAAATTGAGGTTTCAAGTGTCTGAATTTGGTTGTGCGCAGAGGCGCGGTCGAGATGGAAGAAGCGGAAGCCCTTGATTTCTCGAAAACCGAAGCCCCAGCAGGAAGACGAAGGGTTCGAGGACGAGGACGAAGAGGAAGACCTGGACCAGCAGCAGCAGGAAATCGATGAGGACCACCTAAACCCTAGCAGCTCCGCGGATCGGACCGGCTCGGCTAAGGAGAGTGAGCTGCTTGCTGAGGGTGGGGAGAGAATCTGTGAGTTCCCTCCGGTGATCAGGCGTGCCGTTATTGGTCCCCATTCGTCCGTGCTGAATATGGTAGCTCTGGAAATGGCCGGGCAAAGTGGGGAGAGCAGGGGCCAGGGGCAGACCAGGGTTGTTTTGGAGAACATTTCGTACGGGCAACTTCAGGCCATCTCAGCTGTGCCAGCTGATAGTCCGGCATTGGGGGTTGATGAACGAGGAGAAGGCAGTGGGAGTGGATCATATGTGATCACACCTCCGCAGATACTGCCAGGTCGGGGTGTGATTAAGCAGTTTGGAAGTGCTGGCCGTGTTCATGTTCTGCCAATGCATGCAGGTAGTTTATAATGACCTGGTTTGGAATATGATTTGGTGCTTGGTTTATTTTTTATTGTCTTATTGCTTATAGTAATGGTAGCTGTAAAATGGTAAGGAGTAATACTTAGTAAATGAGTTCAAACTTTTTGAATTTATTGATGAAATTGAAAGTTATAAAGGAACATAAAATTAACAATTGGGACATCCAAATTTCTGAGAACTCCCCATCCATCCCCCACTCTCATATTTTCACTATGGAGTGTGGTTTTTGGCAGCCTGCTCAAGTCATATTGTGCCATGCTACATTTTTTTGGTTTTCTATTGTCGGCATTACATTTCACATTTCGGTATGCCGTAAATGACTTTTAGATGCCATTATTGACATTGCTCTGTTCAATTAATCCCCCCTCAAGCCAAGCCTTTTAAAATTATTACAATATAATGATAGATGATACATTGATTATTTCTAGTTTTTAGCCAAGACGAAAATGATTTGTGTACACACTGGTATTCTAATGGTTGAAAAAAAAAATTCATTTCTCTATATAATGATTGATAGCAATTAGAACAATAAATTCTATACAAATGCGTATTTTAAGAAAAACATTTCATTTCTCAGTATATGTGATTGATAATATGGTGAGTGTTTGTGCCCTCAGTTATTCATGTAAAATCTATTACCAAGCATAATTATTTCCACCTTTTGTGACACTCCAATATTTTTAATCTAACAATCATCCTGGCCAATCTTTCACATTTATATATGTAGAGTGTTCCCTTGCATCTATTGTTTCATAACTTGTACTCCATATCTTTTTCTATTTTGATCTCATTATTATTGTTGTTGTTATTATTATTTTTCCTGCTTTACCTTGCCCTTTTACACATTAGTATAATGGGCACAATCTTTTCCTTTTCCTCTGTGTGCAAGTTATGTAATCTGCATTTGGTTCTAAATCTGTGCATAATGTTTCTTTCGCTTGTTCCTCCGACAAGCAGACTGGTTTTCCCCAAATACTGTACACAGGTTGGAAAGGCAAGTTGTTCCACATTTTTTCTCTGGGAAGTCAAGTGAACACACACCAGAAAAATACATGGAGTATAGAAATCAAATTGTTGCAAATTATATGGAGAATCCAGAAAAGTACCTGTCTGTGGCTGATTGCCAGGGGTTAGTAGATGGTGTTAGTATTGATGATCTAACTAGAATTGTTCGGTTTCTTGATCATTGGGGAATCATCAATTACTGTGCTAATCCTCCTAAACTTGAGTTACGTAAGGATGGGACGTACTTATATGAGGACGCAAATGGTGAACTTTGTGTTCCTTCGGAAGCTTTGAAATCTATTGATAGTTTGATCCATTTTGACAAACCTAAATGTCGGCTCAGGGCAAGAGATGTTTATCCAGAGCTTGCATGTAACAGTGACAATGAATCTGACTTTGATAGTACTATCCGTGAGCAACTGTCTGAAAACCGATGCAACTATTGTTCACGGCCAGTTTCAGTTGTGTACTACCAGTCACAGAAGGAGGTATATTACATGTTCTTTGACTCACATGTTACTGACAATTACATAAACTAAAGTTCTTGTTGATAATTTTCTTGAACTTTTCTTAGTTATTAGCATAACTTATTAAGAAGTTTAGTTGAAATCCTTTTCACCTATCTTTTACCTATACTAGTATCCACTAAAATAAGTGTAAGACTCTTCACTTCACTTTGCTACAAACGCAAGCCCTTTTGCTTCTGATAGAGTACTTGTTGATTGAGTATAACTGATTGTATAAATATTTTTTTATGCTATTTCATCTGCCATTGTTTTTATTTTTTGTCCTCTTTAGCTTATCATTTTCCTAAACGAGTCCTACTTTGTGGGAATTGAATATTCATCCTGAATATACTCTGGCACAGTAAATTCATTCAGTGATAAAAGCCATTTTATAATAAAATTTTCCTTCTTAAAGCTAATTTTAGCTAAGTGTGTTCAACTATTTTATTGAGCATGATGAGTGGAAACTATAACCTGTCAAAAATCTGTTCCAGTTATGTCACTCTAAAAAGAATCTATCCAATTACTAGCTATTAACTTAATAATTAATATTTGATGCACCAAAAGTCCTATACACTTCCAATGAACCATATGCTGCCACCTCATTAAAAAGACAAGTCAAAACTGATGATGTCCTTATTTGGTTTGACTTGTTATTAATGAAGTGTTAGCATGTATAGTTCATTTATAATGCATAATTCCTATACTGTCAGTTCATCTGATGATAATAATTCTTAACATAATGCTACTCATTCACTATGCGGGAGATTGCTTACAGGAGCAAAATCACACTTGCACTTAAAGCTTTAATTTTATATTCAATACCCACCCACCCACATGCAATAAGTTCATCATTTCCTTTAGGACTATATGTGGAAGTTGGAACAGAGCTGCAATTCTGAATTTTGATACAATTGTTTCTTGGTTGACATAAAGTAATCAGAAGATTATTTTGCACTCATTCCTCTATGCCCAAAGTTTCTTCACAATTTCATTCCCTGTCCCCAAACAGACAACACTCATTCCACCTACTTGATGAATGGCAAACTGCTAGTCCACTCTATATTTATCTTATTTGAAGTGATATGAAGGGCACTCCCATTTTGTTAACATTTTTTTGGTGCATAACTTTTAGCCTTCATTTTAGATTTACTATGAATTTTACCCCTCAAATCATTTTTAAGGGTTTCATGCTTGCTTGACATTTACCAAGTGAGTGGGAGTAACAAAGTTATTTATTTCTCATCTATGTCATTTCTAAGTGTGATGTCTAAAAGGCTCTTCTTTAATGTGGTGACTGGTGAGTATGAACCTTTGCTTACCAAGAAGTCTTACTGCCAAATGTGTCATGTGGCACCAAGTAAAACTTCACCAGTCTATATTAATATGATTTTGGTAGAACTTTTGAGTAGCATAGCTTTACCACTGTAAGCATTTTCTTGGTATAAAACTTTTGCTTGTTGCCATTTGTCTATATTCATAATCCACACCATGTTTTTTGACAGGTTGAGGTGGTATTGTGTTTGGATTGCTTCCATGAAGGAAAATTTGTCATTGGTCACTCTAGCCTGGATTTTGTCAAGGTCAGCTCTATGAAAGATTATGGAGATCTAGATGGAGAAACTTGGACTGACCAGGAAACACTATTACTTCTGGAGGGAATGCAACTGTATAAAGAAAACTGGATCCAAGTTGCAGAACATGTTGGTTCTAAGTCAAAAGCACAGTGCATCCTTCATTTTGTTCGCCTGCCTCTTGATGGTGCTCAGCTGGAGAACATTGAGGTTCCAAGCACATCTAGTTCCTTAAATTTTTGCACTAGGGAAGAATATGAAAGACCACATTCATATTTAAATGGGAATAATGCAGGTAATACTATGGTGATTTATTTTGTTAATATTGTTTTAATTTAAGGGGCATCTATTTACTTATAAGAAAAAAAGTTGAGAGCATCTAATGTCACTATGCTTTTTATTTCTTATTTTCTTGACACAGGATCAAGTTTACAAGACTTTGATTCTGATGACAAGTTTCCTTTTGCACATTGTGGAAACCCAGTCATGGCCCTGGTAACTACTACTTCAACTGTAACCAATTCCTTGTGTATAAGAGTTCCTATGATTTTATGTGGTAGCAATTGCATTTCTGCTATTTGTGCTAATCATTGATTTCTTGACAATGATCAAATTCATAAGTACCCATGGAGATATTTAATGCTGACTAATCTTGCCCTACAAATGAACTTGTTCTTTTCTATAGAGGAAAAAAGGGAAGAGGGTTGTGTAAAAGTCATATTGCCAAAGTACCCTTGACGAACTGATCCATATGCTAATTTTTTAAGTCATTTTTTTCTTTATGCAGTGCTTTTACAATGTGAAGTACCATTATAGAGTTAGAAATTATGGTATTATATCCTGATTTATCCTAGTGCAGTCCTTACAAATTTTAAGAATTTTTAAAAGAAACAGGGGAACAAAGTCACAAACCATTGGTTTCTTCTAATGTAGTGCACTAATTGATTTAAACAAGGAATACTTTTTTTAAAAAAAAAAAATTAATTTATATTTTATTATGTGCATTTATTGATTATCTATAGCTTTCTGTCACACTAATGTCTGCATTATACCGTGCTACTGCATTTAGGCTGTAATAGTTATGGCAATCTAAAATTCTTAATTTGACAAACTCATTATAAGATTGTTAATTCTGGAAATTGTTCGGAGAGGTATTGATGACTGCCACTAAAATGGATTCTTTGACATTTCTCTATTGCCAATTACAGGTTGCCTTTCTGGCATCTGCAGTAGGACCAAGAGTTGCTGCAGCATGTGCCCATGCATCTTTGGCAGCTTTATCCAGCGATGATAACGTAACTGTATCTGGGAATACAGGCCAGATTGATGGATCGAGACCAAATAATGGGTACACATGCTACATTCTTTTCTCTCTTTCATTGTCAATTTCCTTTCAAATGCTTGTTTGGATAAAAGTGCTACTCATGATTATTGCACCTAGTGATATATAGCGATGGCTCAAGTTGCTTATGTTCCATATCTTTTATGGGGTAGGAAATTATGTTAATTAGATGATCCTGTTAAAAGTGGTATGATTATATTACTCATGTAACAAAGTTGATGAATTCCACAAGTTGTACAAGTATACTGCCAGGTTTAGAGGTTATGTGAGATATCAGAGACATAGCTTTTATCTTAACCTCATTTAGGGGCAATGCAATGCAATGCCTCTTTATCCTTCTCAAATTCTTATTCTGATGCAATGCCTCTTTACCCTTCTCAAATGTGAAATGTCCTATTTCAGTTGCTTCACCAGTATTTTCATATCAGCCCATTCACAGCATGAAATTAGCAGAGAGCTCTCTTAATTGGGCTTAAGTATCTTGGTCTCAATAATATATGCACTAACATTGTAACCATTCTTTAAATGGTGATTCTGTTGTTTCACTATTTTGTTACAATGCCATGCATGCTTCTTCTTTAGTTTTTTTGTCTCCTATTCATTTTCAAAACCAGCTTTTAATGGTGTTCCAAAAGGATGATCTCTTATGTGATCTAATAGGATAGGAAAACACCCTTCTGATTCTGATATAGGAATTTGTAATCTCTGTCAAGATGAATGGTTCTTATTCCCTCCTCACTGTCTAATGGAGTGTAGTCAGGAGCATTTTAATCTTCCTATAGTTTTTATTATAAACTTGCAGATTGTTTCCCTTACTAAAGTAATACTGGGCTCCCAACTTCGGGTGGGGGGGGGGGGGGGGGGGGGGGGGGGATGGGGAGCGAAGCAATGAGCTAGTATACTGCAGCAGCTATATTACTTGCTAAAATAACTTTAAGAGCAAATTCCACTTTTAGTCGAGTTTAGTCCTCGACTATTGTGGCATTGTCACATTTAGTCCTATTCTTTTAATTTTGCCATATTACATTCCTGACTATGGGGAACTTCCACTTTTAGTCCTCGACTATTATGGCTTTGCCACATATAGTCCTATTCTTTTAATTTTGCCATATTATATCCACGACTTTGAGCAATTTCCACTTTTAGTCATCGACTATTGTGGTATTGCCATATTTAGTCCTATTCTTTTAATTTTGCTATATTACATATATGACTTTTATTTGATTGCCACCATTAGTCTTCCGTTAAAAATTTCATTAATTTATCGTTAGAATTGACAAATAACAAAGGAAAAATCCCTACACATATCGTAACTCATATTTCGAACACGTTAGAAATATTGTAAATATCAAAGGATGTAATATTGTAACTTATAGAAATATGAGTTACGATATGGGTAAAGATTTTTCTTTGTTATTTGTCAATTCTAAGAGTAAATTAATGAGATTTTTAACGAAAAACTAATGGTGGCAATCAAATGAAAGTCATTAAATGTAACATAACAAAATTAAAAGAATGAGACTAAATATGACAATACCACAATAGTCGAGGACTAAAAGTGGAAGTTGCTCAAAGTTGTGGATGTAATATGGCAAAATTAAAAGAATAAGACTAAATGTGACAATGCCACAATAGTCGAGGACTAAAAGTGGAAGTTGTTCAAAGTCAGGGATGTAATATGGCAAAATTAAAAGAATAGGACTAAATGCGGCAATACCACAATAGTCAAGTACTAAAAGTGGAATATGCCTTTGATGCTGACAGGAACAGAATATTCTTGTAAGTTTTTTTTTTCTTGACTAATTAATAGAATCCCTGTTGGCTTTCATAAAAAGAAAAGGTAAGAAGTGTCAAATAAGCCCACCTACTACCTCGAAGTGTTCAATTCACCCCACCCACCATCTAAAATATAATGTAATTAGACACACCTCTTAAAATTGTTCGATAAGCTTTTTTAGCTGGTTACCTCCGGTTTGCAATGACTTGGCCCGGTTAGGATTAGGTGGCATTGATTACATGACATTAAAATAACAAAATATTTTGTACCCCTCCATCTGTGATTTTCTCTACTCGAAATCCTTCGCCTCCTCCGCAGCTCCGACCGCCACACCACCGTCATCTACTTCCCCTCAACAATACCCCCAAACATTGGATGGCTTGCGGAGGCGGGTAGCGGCTGAGTTGCAGGCGCTCGGAGACTTCGTACGGCTCCAGTCGGACAGCGAGTACTCCGTCGAAGTCGGTACGAAGGAGCCCCTCCCCAAGCCCAAATGGATGAAGGAAGCAATCCCCGGCGGGGAGAAGTACACGCAGATCAAGAAGAAACTGAGGGAGTTGAAGCTCCACTGTTTGCGACCAAGTGTCCTAATTTGGGAGAATGTTGGTCCGGCGGCGAAACAGATGAATGTATTGCATTTAGAGTTGCAATTATCAGAAAGCATTAAAAGCCATGAAAATTCCAATCTGTGCAAGAAGGAAAAAAAAAGTGAACCCTGTAGCTCCGATTTGAACTGTACCCGGCGATGAGTTGGTTTGTTTTGGGCCTTTCATCATTGTCTTCCCTGGAAATATGCCATTGTTAGTTCTTGTGCATTGGAATTGCGGGGCCTGGGGAAAGAAGGAGTCGGAGGCGAATCTGGTCACAAGTCCTTCCAAGCTTTTCTCTCGGTTTGCGCGAAGGGTTTCGGATCTAGATTGGAGGGTTCTGTTGCTGATTCTTCTCCCTCTTTCTCTTCTGGTCTACGCTTCTCTCTACACCATTTTCTCTACTTTCATCGGCGGGGTGACCTTCGTCACCAGCCTCCTGAGGTCCATTTTCACCTCGGCGGCGACATTACTACCTAGAGCGTGGAGATCCCTCCGGCTCCGGCGAGCTCCGTGGCCTGCGATGAATCTTCCGAAGGAACCGACACGCCGACCAACGATGACTCTAACTCAGATTTAGGAACTAAATTCCACCTCAGAGCACACTTTTATTTTAATAAAATTACAGGTCCCAAGGTGGACTGGCAACCCGGAGGTAACCTGCGAAAAAAGCTCAACGAACAATTTTAGGAGTTAAGTGTGTCTAATTACATTATATTTTAGATGGTGGGGTGATTTGAACACTTTGAGGTAGTAGATGGGCCTATTTGACACTTCTGCCAAAGAAAAGAAAAAAAAAGAAAAGAAACCTCCACTGCTGTTCTGCTGCTGCATGAAGTCACTAATTCTCTTGAATGTAGGAACTCATTTTCTGTTGGCCATATATCTTGCCCTATGGGTTTAATACTCTTTAAGTTATGGGCAAGCATTTTCATATTTTCCAATCACTGTTAGTAGTGCCATGCTACAGTCCCCTACTAAAATCAATCTCTAATGTGCCGCTGGATTGGATTTTATTTTATTTTTTATTATTGTGTGGACTCTTTATTAACTCGTGATGGGATCAACCAATTCATGGGTAGCTAATAAAAATAGAAGTTTTCCTTTTTGTTTTTTTAAAGCCTTATAGATAATGCTATGTTAGGTAGTGATTAGGGAAAATAGCATTTTTCCTGTTAATGATGTGTGTGGGTAATCAATAATAAAGTTAAAATTTGTCAAAATAAGTTGTTTTGGAAACCAAATCTTGTATTGCTGGAGTCTATGAAGCCCACCCACTTCTAGTCCTGCTTTACTATTTGAAAATTTCATAATCTGGAAACCTTGTCATCAGTGTTCTGTGATAGGAGAGTTTTGTTTAAAAGATCACAATGCTCTCTATTGATGACTTAAATCATTGATGGTCTGCATTTATGCCTTTAAAGAACATTTGGAGATCTTCTGTTTCTCTCTGCACAGGGTGACTGTTGGAACAACATATGGTAAGGATGGCAATTCTTCTGGAGACTTGGCAAATTCGAGTCAGTGCAAAGGTATGCTGTAACCTGGCTAGAGTCATGTTCTTTTCCTTTCTTTCTTTCTTTAACCCCCCCACCCCCCCCCCCCCCCCCCCCCACCACAACACACACACACATATTGGGAGTACAAGGCCAATGGTTTCACTGTGATACAGGGACTGCACCGCTACCTGCTGAAAAAGTCAAAGTTGCTGCCAAGATTGGTCTTTCTGCTGCAGCTATGAAGGCGAAACTTTTTGCTGATCATGAAGAACGTGAGATTCAACGACTATCCGCTAATATCATAAATCATCAGGTACATTTTTTGATAATTTTGTTATTTAACTTTATTTTCTCAATTTCAGTTCAACCTCTGTTAAATGCAATAACTTATTGTAAAAAAAATGCTGTTGGTGCAGTTTTTAGGGGACCTAATTGTTTTGAGTTTTTGATTGACTTAATTGTGGACAAAATTTGTGCATTTCTTTTGGGCAATATAATTATCAGACCTATAGAGGATTGGCAATCTGTTGTGTTTAGATTTTTCATTTCTTATCAATTTAATATTTTGGTTTGTTTTTAAAGGACTTCTTGTCTGTCTTTATCAACTAACACAGGCAAGAGTGATATAATAAAGAGATGGTTTGTAATCCATATATTTTTTTCCTATTGGCAGCATACTACTATTGTACTACTACTAGTAGTACTCAACAGTCTCTTTTGCTTGTGCATTGTTTTTTTTTTACTTCTAGCTTGAAGTCAAGCTAGATACTTTCTATTAGCAACTGCTAATAAGTGAGTAGTTTGGTCTTTAGCAGATTCTGATATTTTGGTGTCATTTCTTATCAATTTAATATTTTGGTTTGTTTTTAAAGGACCTCTTGTCTGTCTTTACCAACTAACACAGGCAAGAGTGATATAATAAAGAGATGGTTTTGCAACTAGAGAGCTTATCTTGTAATCCATGTTTTTTTTTTTCTCTGTTGGCAGCATACTACTATAGTACTATTGTACTACTAGTAGTAGTACTCAACAGTCTCTTTTGCTTGTGCATTGGTTTTTTTACTTCTAGCTTGAAGTCAAGCTAGATACTTCCTATTAGCAACTGCTAATAAGTGAGTAGTTTGGTCTTTAGCAGATTCTGATATACTCAATTCTGATATTACAAAGAAGATTTACACCTGTGTACAAATCATAAAAGAATTTGTTTTGTGAGGAATTATTTCAGTCTGTAAAATCAAAAAACATAATTGATTTGTGTTTTGGACTTGTTCATAAAACATAGACTCTTGATAGTTGCTGCCTAGGTGATCTCTTTGTCTTCTGACCTTATCCACGTCCCTTTCAGTTAAAGAGATTGGAGCTAAAGCTGAAGCAGTTTGCTGAAGTTGAGACATTATTGATGAGGGAATGTGAACAGATGGAAAGGAGAAGGCAGAGAATTGCCGGGGAACGCAATATGATGACCTCACAATTCGGATCACCTACAGTACCCCGATCCATTGGTCTATCAGGCGTTGGGACATCGATGATCAATAATACCAGCGTAAATAGTCGGCCACCTGTTGTTTCAGGTTCTCAACAACCTTTCATCTCTGGGTATGGCAATAACCAACCGCTCCATCCCCACATGCAGTTTATGCCACAGCAAGGAATGTATGGACTTGGGCCACGGTTACCACTTTCAGCTATACACCCATCCTCTGCTAGTGCCAATGCTATGTTTAACGCTGCGGCAAATTCCCAACCATCTCTCGGTCATCCTATGCTCAGACCCGCATCTGGGACTAAACCTGGTTTAGGCTAAATATAAGCAAGTGGCTCCACATTGGCATTGCTTGGGTTGGTAACAATTGTTGTATTGCTTTCTGTAGTAACTTGGCTGATGAAAATGAATGATACTGTGCACCGCATATTCTGGATCGTTTGGCACTGCTGGATGATTGGCGCTCAGTTTGACATCACGCTAACCTAATACATTACATTGAGCAGCTTTATGTAGTGGTGTAGTAGTTGCAAGCCAAGGTTCTCTTGTAATTTAGCACTCTTCCAATGAGGGCAATCTGCAATTAGGAAGCTAGAATTGCTGTTCTAATTTTGTACAGGTAATTTGTACTCAGGGAGATAGAGGAAGTGAAAGCTACAAAAAAAATGTTAGTTTTCCTTATACATTATGTGGCAGCTAGAGAAAATTTTAAACAAAAATTTGACATGCATTTTTCCGAAATTCAGCCTTGCATATGTTTGCCAGAAATTTGATGACAAGCATGCATAGTTTTTTTTTTTTTTTTCCTCCTGATATTAGCTAACTGGAGACGTGATTATTAATTTCAATTAACTCTAGGTTATGCTAAATAATAATAATAATAATAATAATAATAATAATAATAATAATAATAATAATAATAATTGTTGTTATTGTCGTAGATAAAAAATATTAAAATAGTAAACTTATAATTAATCGACATATTAATTTTTAGGGGTGGGCATTTCGGTTCGATTTATCCGAACCGAACCGAACTAGTAATAGAAAATCGAACGGTTCGGGATTTTGTAACCCGAACGGTTTAGTACCGAATTGAACCGAAACCGAACGGTTTGACAAAAACCAAACCGAACCGAATGCTATATAATTTTTTTAATAAATAATAATAATAATATAATAATAATAATAACAATAATAATAATAATAATAATAAACAAGTAAATCCAAGTTCCTCGATGCCTGCTCCGCCGTTCAGTTCTCATTCTTACTGGTACCGAACCTTACATTTTTTATTTGATTTCTTTATAGTTTGTTTTCTACATTGCACTTTTGTTGTTTGTCGCAATTGTTCTTTACCTCACAATTATATATAACTTGAGTTATATTTACAATATTCAGTATTTTCCTTAGTTTCATGTTTTTCTATAAATTTAATGTGCTTTACAGTCATTCTAATTTTGATTTTCAGTGCACTATAATTATTTTCTAGTACTGGAATATATTTCGAGTGCACTAGCAATGATAGATCGTGTCCAAAAATTAACTATATAGTAATTGACACTAGTTCATTTAATATCAACTAAACAGATAGATGATTGTTCATCTTATCAATAAAAATATTCCAACTGAACCAACTGAAGAGCCGGTTGTGCAAAAACGTTAACTGAGTTTGGTAATTAGTACTTAGTATTGTGTTTGAACTTTGGATTGCTATTTTGTTATATAATGTTTAGAGTTTGAATTTGGATTATGTGACTATGTATTGTTTGGTAGTATGTTCGAAAAATTAGGAAATGTTGAAATTTGGGGAGCTTAAACCGAACCGAATTAAATCCGAACCGAACCTTAATGTTAAACCGAATGGTTTAACTTTTTTAAAACCGAAACCGGAACCGAAAAAACCGAACCGAAACCCGAAACGCCCACTCCTATTAATTTTTTAAGTTCAAGAACACCATTATTATAGTTTCTATAATGGGATGTTTGGTTCACGGAATAGGTCTGGAATGTCATAGCATTCCCAGTAATAGGTTTATTCCTCTATTCGGTAACCACTTGTATTCCCAGGAACATTGTTCCCGGGAATGGCCTATTCCCCTTGCAAGGGGAATAGAGATTCCTGGGTCCCCTGGTATTAGGCTATTCCTGAGTTTTCAGGAATAGCCTAAAGTTTTTATTTCCTATTGTATCCCCAATTAATTTTATTTCCTATTTCGCCATCGCCAACATCACCACCGCTGCCACCATCGTCGTCGTCGTTGCCGCCACCACCACCACCACCCTACCATCGCCACCAACAGCACCGCTATCGTCCACCACCGCCACAACCGTCGTCGCCGCCACTACCCCACCACCACCATCACATATTTTTATAAGGGTATTTATGTCTTTTAAAACATATTTCATTTCTATTCCTTAAATCAACCAAACACGGTAATATAATTCCTAAAGTCTATTCCTTCTACGAACCAAACAATAGAATACAATTCATATTCTATTCCTTATGGAATAGCATACCTATTCCCTTAAAATTCATTCCGTGAACCAAACGTGCTGTAAAAGCCATTGAACTACGCCAAACTATAACAACGTGTTTAGGAATTGAATATACATGGAATAGAATAACATGTTTAGGAATTGAATAGACATGGAATAGAATAGGATTTGTATTGTTTAGTTGGTTTGAGGAATAAAAATGGAATTGTTTAAAAGATGTAAATACCTTACTACTAATAGTACTACTACTTTTTTTTTTATATATATATTTATTACATGTAATATCTGTTCATATATACTTTCTCAATCTACTGAATCTCAACAAGTCAATATCACCTCCATCGAGGCTCGAATTCATGACTTCTCAATTGGAGAGTCACTTCATGCCACCTGACCACAAGGTCTTTGACACTAGTACTACTACTACTACTATATAAGATTTTTAAATAATATTATTATATAGCAATTACAATATTGCAAAAAAAAAAAAAATGATGTGTAAATTATGAAACAAAATATTCATATAAATAAATAATTTCTTTTTTTCAACAAAATACTCAAAACGATCAAATAATAGTAGCAATGTTCATAAAATGTAAATATGAATAATGATTAATTGCCATCAAGGAATCTTCTGATCCACTGTAATCTTCAATTAGGATCAAGACTGAAAAAAAAAAAACCACTTTATTAGGATGATCAATGAGCTTTAACGAAACAAGGTACATTTCATCATAAGTCAAACCATCAACCTCTTTTAATGCACGATCAAGCTTCTGAAACATATCCATATCACGATCATATGGAAGATCATCGGACAAGTTCTTACCAACTTCTGAATTTGTATTGCTTATTAGTTTCGCAACATTAAGCATATTCTCAGCACATATCTTGATTGCATCTTCAGCATAAACCATATGCTTTTGCTCATTCCAACCAAACCCACTAATATCTTTACCTCCCAGCATATCATGAATAATGCCCCATTCTTTTTTTCAAAGTTTTAATTCTACTCTCAATATGTGGCTTAGCTTTTATGGTAGAATTTGGTAATTTTTCTAAAATCATTCTTTGAAGTTCTAATAAATAACCTGTCGTGAACCATGCATCAGAATTATATTGCCCTATATTATGCATTTCGGTCAAACATGCCACTAATATAATGTCTTCTTCGAGTGTCCACTTTCTTTTTGTTTGCTTAGCATTTTAAGAGCCAATGTTTGCAGATGTAGGGGAGAAGCCATTCTTAATTACAAGTAAGATACATTTATAAAATACATAATAATGTCCATAAATTGGATTAATAAATTATTCATCAAAACTCAAACACATAACATTGTTCATAAACCACATAAAAAAAAAAACATTGCACTACCAAATATAATCCCCATTAATTTCTAGATGTTATCATTTCATTGGACATGTCATTTGCTAATTCTGTCCTCCAATTATTCCAAACTTCTGAACACTCTATTTGTGTAATGTCATTATCTTCATGTATTCCGTTACCTTGTACCAAATGATCTTCCATAGGATCAACATTCTTCTCATTTCTAATAAAATTATGAAGCAAACAGCATGCAAGTATAATTCGGTTATATATTCTAACAGAATAAAATGATGGGTTTCCAAGTATTCCATCTAATTTTTAATAACCCAAAACACAGTTTTATGACATTGCGAGCAATTGCATGGTTCATATTAAAAAAGCTTGAGAAGTTGTCAGTTGGTGATCTTGACGCCATTTATTTAAGTGGTACCTTTAACCTCTAAATGGTGTCAGAAATTTCTCACTATTATCATATCCTCAGTCAACTAAATAGTAACAACCAATAAACATAATTTTATAGTTTAATAAGAATGCATTATTGATGTGGTAAATTCCAGTAGATATATGTATTTGTATGAGACTAAGTGGCATATTTGGGAATGGTGGCTATAAATCCGAGGGTCGGAGGTTCCCGACTTATAAGGGCTAGAGAGAGAGAGAGAGCCCAAAACTCCCCCTTTAACAAGCGTCTAGCGAGGTATATATAGACAAGACGAGGGGACACATGCCGGAGGATCGACATGTGTGACACGTGTCTCTCATGCACTCGGCAACCTTGAAGGCTTATGGAAGAGTGTACACGTTCAAGAATATATCTATCTAGTCAATTGCTATTGGGCTCGGTTTGAGTGCTAATGTGGGTGTTTTGGATCTCATCCAAGTAATCAGATCAAGACCGGGCACATGAAGGTATAATACTTGTGAGCTTTTGCCACTCCGAGCCATTCTGGTTTAGTCCCGTGTTCCATCTCTTGATTGCACCTTGGATCGGGGCTTCTCGATGGTCAGCTCTGGTCTAAAATCGCTAAGGTTGTTCAGTTCCACCTTGAAATTAACATAATGTACCGACTTGGGCCTAAGGTTAGCAAGTTTGCTATTTTGAAGTTAAGTTTTTGACATTTTTATGTTTATATGTTTGAAGTTTATTTTTATGTTTGTGATTTAGTATTCCCGAGCCCATTACCAGCCTCCCACTGCCTATGGTGCTAAGGTCAGTACCACAAGGGAGTACACCCTGGTCAACCCGCGGGGCCATTTGTTCTTATTTGTACGTGCTAAGGTCGGTTATGACCGACCACGATCGGTTTGTATTATTCGTTCACTGGATACTAAGGTAACCATTCATGGAGCCTATTTCATATCAAGGTTAATTGTAACTAAGTTGTTAAGCGCATATAGTGTTAAGGCCGACACCATAAGGGAGTTGTTTGAGGCCGATGCAAGTCTTATTAATCGTCTCATTTATCGGGACTGATGATGGTCGATTTGAAGTAAATTCTTATTTCATGTTCAAGATTTTGGTGTTCCTGGTAGTCTTAGGCTTCGGATCAGAATCTATTGCAGCCTAGTGACAATTTTCTCTACCTCCAAGGTCTGTCCAACGTCAATCTTGAGCTCGGGAACGTTGTGGCCATCCGCCAATCACTTGAGGCTGGATTGCACGCCATTTTATGAGTCTAGGAACCGTCGCGTACCAATGCTGCGGTTGAGTCTTCAACTGATTTGGGGATCATTATCGAGGATGCTTCTCCTCGATTACCCTTTCTCGGGTTTCAATTTTCATAGCCCGGATTTTAATTGATTATGATCGTTTCTTAAGGAAGCTTCTCCTCCATGGCCCTTGATCGGTCTTCCCGATCTTGAGACCATATTCTATTGATCTTTTGATTAAATAAGGACACTTCTCCTCTTATGCCCTGTTTGGGACTAACGATCTAGGAACCATTTCCTTTCCGATATTGTGATCATTTATGAGGACGCTTCTCCTCATTATCCTTACTCGATTTTTGGGGTCTAAGGACCGCTTCACGCCGCATCATGGGGTCAGGTTCCGGACCTGGCCGGTCAGAATCGCTTACTTCGTAGGGCTTGCGTCGAGATCTGATCCCGGGCTTTATTGTTGCGGTCTAAGGACCGGATTATATAGATTTGGGTAGGATTTATCATTCGATCTTTGAGGTCGGGAAGGTGGTATTAAAAATTGTTCCGTGTTTTCGCCGAAACCGGCCTTATTGGAATTCTAGTGACCGAGATGGATAAACTGATTTAATTATATTTTGATAAGAGTGTTAACAAAATTACACTTCGATTCCACTATATACAAACTAGCTTATGAACTGATAAAGTCGGCCGCTCGATGAAGTCGGTGTTCACGGTGCCCTATCTCCGGCGGCAACGGCGGGGGGTTGCTTTAACATGGTGCTTATAGGCCTCTGTGGGCTCTCGGCCGATCGTTCGTTGTAATCCCACGGTTGGAGACGCGGTCCTAGCCGATGTCGAACGGATAGTCGGGACCCAGCGCTCGGATCTAGCTGGGTTTGTACTAGTCGATCGACTTGCTCAAGTGGCAGAATGAAATGTTGCTAGGCCGCGACGCCGGCCGATGTCGATGCTAGTGGCATGCCAGTGAAGGTCGAGACGACCGCACACACGGGTGGTCTGACCATGGACTAAAATGAGAATGTGCCCATCATGAATGGATTTGAAGATGGGTACCCCCATCCTAACGAGGCGAGGTCCCATTCGGGAACCGAGCTAAGCACCTAAGGATTCATAACCAAGCTCGGGGCAAAGGGGTTTATTTCGCTTGTGTTGATTGTGTTGAGGCCGATCACATCTGGAGATGCCGATTCGACTTGCGGTATTTGAGTCATAACTTGCCAAAGCGACAACAGGGAGCGGAGGTCGAGGATACATGATTGGGGACACGGGCTAAGCTCGTAGCTACTAGTGCTGGTCCCCACAGACGGCGTCAAAATGATGTGGTAAATTCCACTGGTATATGTATTCGTATGAGACTAAGTGGCGTATTTGGGAATGGTGGCTTTGATTATAAATCCGAGGGTCAGAGGTTCCCGAGCTTATAAGGGCTAGAGAGAGAGAGAGAGAGAGAGTCCAAAAGTCCCCCTTTAACAAGCATCTAGCGAGGTATTTATAGACAAGAGGAGGGGACACATGCCGGAGGGTCGGCAAGTGTGACATGTGTCTCTCATGCACTCGACAACTTCAAAGGCTTACGTGCGATAATATATCTGTCTAGTCAATTGCTATTGGGCCTAGTTTGAGTGCTAGCGTGGGTGCTTGGGATCTCATCCAAGTAATCAAGTCGAGACCGAGCACAGGAAGGTAAAGGCAGAGGCTCATTAAACCATAGAGACGCTCGACCATCATGTCGGGTCGATTAGTAACGATATTTAGGTCGGGAAGTGACTCTTGCCTAGCGGTGACTCGTATCCGACCAGGACCTCACTACGAAAGGGTACGTAGCCCGGAATATATTCCCTATCAATTATATTACATCATATTTAAAATTGAATGTTATAATGTTTACTACGGAGTATTAGGGACCTTAAGTGGATGCCTTCTAAATAATGCATCTTGAAGAATTCTATTGTCTGCTACTCATCCTTCCCATCCCGGTCCCCAGAAGAACATAAGACAAATTGCATATTTGATTATTTGGTGTACATACACCTAATACTGTAATACATTTGTTGCAATTTATCGACTACAATAATTTTTCTCAATTTAATTAATGATTTTAACAATTGAAGACTTAATGGGGTAAAACCATTAAAATTGATGACTTAATTAAACACAAAAAATCATTTAGACTAAATCAAGAAAAAACATTGATACCAAGTGGCTTGTAGTCCACTGGTATCGGATTGGCCCCTTATGTGGGATGTCTTAGGTTCAAGCCTTGGTGAAGGCGTAGTAGTCGTTATATTATAGATCGCGGTGCATGTGCACCGCGGTCAAAAACGACGCCGTTTCTTTAAATAAAGAAACGGCCCGCCGTTAGAGTTAACGGAGTCCGTTTGTTTGGTGTATTAAACACTAATTGACACACTGCAGTTATATCAAAATGATACTGTAGTTATAGTGAAATGAAACTGCAGTGTATATAAACTGAAACTGAATAACATTTCACATATTTGAGTGTATATTATACAATGAAGCTGTAATTATATCAAAATGATCATGTAGTTGTGTTTTAATGAAACTATAGTGTATATAAAATAAAATTAAATAACATTTTCACATATTTGAGTCTATAAATATCTAGTATCTGTTCGTATACTTTCTCAACCTACTGAAACACAAAGAACCAATAACACCTTTACTGAGGCTCGAACTCATAATCTTCCAAATGGAAGTCCAACCCGGGTACCATTAGACCACATATCGAATGAAACTATAGTTATATCGAAATGAAACTGTAGTTGTGTTCAACTGAAACTGCAGTTCATACAAAACGACACTGAATAACATAGTTACTTTTTGCAAAAGGGTGCGAAACGGCGGAAATAAACACTGTTAATTTTCATTTAAAAAAAGACGCGCGGTGCATAATCGATTATGCACCGCGGTGCATAATATAATTTGCCAAGGCGTAGATAGTATACGTGGGTGTCCCCCTACCTTTGTAATAAAAAAAAAGAAAAAACACCGATAATTAAATTGGTTATTAACTTGGAAAGATTGCCATCCAAAATCCAATGCAACTCTTAATAAAATAAGAAAATGAAAAGCAGGTGAGGTGATTTCTTTTGGTTTTGTATTTCTAATTCTACCCGGCCAATTCCAATTTCCAAATTCCAAGTTGGAAGGAGCTGAGGCTGAGAGGGAAGAGCCGCCATAACTGATAGCACTGAGCAAAACAGGAAATCAATCGGGCATGGTGAATAAGCCATGGAGAATTATCCCCAGACCTGTAATGGAGGCCGCGCTCAGTAACTATGCCCAGAACCCCCGCGTCCCGCAGCCCCTCATTCTCCATGGCCCTCGTGGAGTCGGCAAAACCACTCTCATACTTGAACGTGATCACCTCTCTACTGCTACGCTACTCCGCTTTTCTACTTGCAATTCCTCTTCTCTGACCTTCATTTTCTCCCAGGTCTTTTCGGCAAATGGAACACCGGCCCTCACGTCACAGGCTACGTGGACTTTGCGGAATCGATAAAGGATCACCACCCCACCTTCGGCCCCTCTTTCCCTTGGACTTCCTGGTCCAAATGCTCGCCTCCGCCGCTATCCACTCTCCGGGCCCAGCTGGAGAGCTGCCTTGAATCGTTGGCTTGGAAGGGCATCAAGCTCAGCACCATAAGCTCTCACCAGATATTTACAGCGCTTAACAAATGGCACGGACTCGCCGCCGCTCTTGAGCAGATCCTGAGTGCTGATGATTCGTTGGGTCCCAGAACCGCTAGGGTTCCCTCTGCATTGAATTTGTGGGAGAGGGCGGTGTTAACGGCATCTGCTCGACTAAATGCCGAAGAGATTGGTGGGTTGGATGGGGAGGCGGAGGAGGGGTCTTATACCAGGGAATCATTAGCGGCCTTGAAGCTGGCCAAGGCAGTAATTAGGGTGCAGCAAAAGTGGAGGCATAATGCAATCAAGCATTTGAATCAGACTGGTGGGTTTTCAAGGTCCTTGGCAAACTCTACTACAGACTGGCCTTGTTTGTTGTTGGAACTCTTGTCTTCAGCAGCTGAAGTCGACTATTTTCAGGTAATCAGATTGCATTACGAGTTCACTTTTTCTATCATTTTGTTTTTGCTTGATGAATTGTCACTCTTTGATGATGCTTAAACGAGTTTTAATGAGCTGAGGCACTGTATATTGATGCAATTTTTAAAGGCTTGAAATAGGTTTTCATGAACATGGCTATGTGCAATTATTAATATGTTTTCATTTCAATGATGTCCTGTTATTACTTGTTCTCATGCCATTCTTTAACTGATTTTTTTTTGGAGTTGTGTAGCCAAAGTTGGTTATAAACAACATTGAAGTTTTAAAGAATGCTGTATTAAAAGATGATTCTTCAGTCTCTGCATCTATGTATCATGACAGTTTGATATGGAGAATAATAGCATTGGGAGCAAATGAGAGATGTCTCCCGATTATTTTTGCAACATCAGATAGGTAATGCCACTTTAAATTTTTTGATGGCTTATTTGAAGCCTATATGTCTTTTTTCGAGTTAAAACTGAAGTTGAGTATTTATTCTGTCATTCTTCTGCTGTCTCTGATTTGAGTGATGTATTGTATGATTGATACGGAGTACTTGAAAGAGATTTCAAATCATAGCTCCATTATATTCTAGCCTGTCTTTCTGGTATGGTTTTGTTGTCTAGGATTTGAATGTGTGATACTGCTCTGCTGTATTATTTGGCAATGCATATTATTTTGTTAATCCATTAATATTTTTATTTTCTGTATATGGTATAAGCCTTTAGGTTTATTTATTTAATTTTTTTTTTTTTTTTTTTTTTTTTTTTTTTTTTTTTTTTAATGCAAATGCTCTATGTTCTAGTTGCTGTTTTTAACTGTGTTGAAATTCTGTTAACTCCCAATAAAATTTTTGCAGCTATTATTCATATCGTGCTTATATAGATTTTGGCTTTCCAGACATCTTCATCTCTCGTGAGGTAAACTTCTTTGCTTATTAGTCCCCCCCGTCCCCCACCCCACCCTACCCACCTGCGGCATGCAGGAAGAAGTATTTAACATAAATTGCATATATCAATTGTAGTGAACTATAGAGGAACAGAGAATAAATAGTAATTTGTCTTGATTAAAAGGAAGATTGAGCATACAACTTAAATAAGAAAAGATAGAAAAGGCTAACCCTAGAATTCCTCATAATCAAGGATTGATTAATTCTTTCCTTTATTTCTATGATATGACTTTCCTAAATTTATTCAAATAGTAACAGCCAAATCTCTAATTTCGTGACACTACCCCTCAAGTTGGTGTAAAGATATCTATCAAGCCCAACTTGCCAACTTGAAACTCAAATGTTTGTTTCAACAAGCCAAGTTAGAACATCTGCAACTTGCTATGTGGTTGGTACAACTGTACAAGTGGAGTGTAAATTATCCTTTCTTCAAGCTTCTCCTTTATGAAGTGTCTATCAATCTCAACATGTTTTGTTCTATCTTGTAGAATTAGGTTATGAGCAATACTAATAGCTGCCTTGTTATCACAATACAATTTTATAGGTAGACTCAATGGTCTCTAAAGATCTACTAGAATTCTCTTTAACCAAAGAACTCCACATACTCCTTAAGCCATTGATTTGAGTTTTGCCTAAGCCCTGCTCCTAGCAACTACACTTTACTTCTTACTCCTCCAAGTTACCCAGATTACCCCAAAGAAATGTGTAGTACCCCTATAGTTAACCTTCTATCAGTAACTGAACTTGCCTAATTTACATTTGTTTAGACCTCAATCCCTCTCTTCTAATTTTTCTTGAAGAAGTCCTTTTCTTGGTGTGCCTTTTAGATACCGAAGAATTCAATAAACAACTTTGAGATGTTCTTCATATGGGGACTCCATGAGTTGACTTACCATGCTCACAACCAAGGTAGTATCTGGGCGTGTGTGTGGGTAAAGAGTAAGATGCATATCAATAACTAGTCATGTAGAAGCTAGTTCAATCAAGATTGAAGTATGCAAATAAACAGTAGGTAAAAGCGACAAACAAGTAAAGCAATGATAAAGATGGAATTAGGACTTGCTAATCCAAGCTATGGTGCTAAAGGGGTACTCGGGATTGGTTAGCATGCATTGATTTAATAAGGGTTATGAGAAATTCATCAAAACACCTAGTGGTACTCTTGTAATCATTGGCAAACCAATTAGGCTTGGACTCCATTCTCATAGTAGTTCAAATCCAATTGGCCACAAACAAGCACAAAGCATATAAAGCTGCTCTTATTCCTCTATTCTCATAATAAGAACAAGAGTGTATGTAGTGTGGCTAGAATGTGTAGAAAACTTATCTATTGATCCATAAGAGATGTTGAAATACAGGATTAAAGTGCTTCAATCCAAGTAAAAAGCGTGTATTAAAATCTATTCTAACTTTAAACTATGCTGGAAGATGATCAATATTGAAGGGAACTATGAAAAATGGCCAGAAGACTCGTATACGCTGAAATGTGGTTATAAATGCTACAATGGGAAACATAGGCTAAACTTGTCTTTGTTGTGGCCTCAGATGGCTTGTAGGAACTGCCAAACCATGCTTGTGCCTTGGTCCCATGGCATGCAGAGCTTGATTGTAGAACTTGGTTACCATGGTCTCCACCACAGTTGTGGTTCCCTCGTGGTTATAGGTTCTATCTTTGACCACTTTTCTTCTTCCTTGCTATATTAGGCATTGGGTCCTTCACTCCTTCCATGGTGCTTCCAACTTGCTCTTTAGTTCCTTGACCGTTCCCATGGCTCTTGGGCACGTCCTTGCATCTAGATAGCTTCAAACTTTTCCCAGATAAACTCTAATTTACAAGATTTTGCAACTTCCATTTCCATATCTTTTAGACACAATTAACAACTGAATAAGCAACCAAATTGGCTATAAAGTATATGAGCAACAAGCAAGCAAATTGACAAGAAATGCAACGGATAATGTAAACAAATATGACAATTTTCAATATATTTTATAAGTGTCTGTCACATGTTTGAATTTAGATATACTTGGCTCTTTTTTAGTACATTTTAAAAAAAAATTTGTTTGAAAGTTTACAGAGAATCAATGTCAACTGATTTTGGTTTTGTGGTGCCGGTGCTTTATTGGTGAATGCATATGTGCTCAAGACACTTTTTTGGTGATATCATATAATAAAATTAGCAATTATGTGCTTTTATTTGTTGTTTATATCACATTTTGCTCATTCTGTAATGACATAGTAGTCGTAAGTATTGTAGATGTTTGGATGGACTGCTGAACAAGCTAAAATACATTTGGTTGGTCAGTATTTTGACCAGCTTGAGGTATGACCTAATCCTTGGACAATTATGCATTCCTTTGTATCTATGGAATCAGACATACCCTATTCTGAAGGTGAGAATGAATATTAACACTGTTTGTTGAATTTGCAGTGTAATGTGATTTTTCAGCTCTTAGGAGGAAACATAAGGCATCTCCTTGAGGTTTATGCGCTGACAATAAGTAACTATTACGAGCAGTAAGTATGTGTGTATGCACCATGATGTGCTTATTGTTGTTTTGCAATAATATGATCTTGTGGTTTGTATTCAACCTGCATGCTACCTGTGCACATGCGTTCATGTATGTCAATTTTATTTATGCCTTCAACCTTGGATGCTACTACTATCTACACTGTACTTTTTTATTGCTATGAGTTGAATACTTGCTGCTAGATGATTAAAAGGAGTTCTGGAGTTTATGCTCTACTACAGCATGAATAATGCCAAGAAGCCCAAGAGTGTATTATGGATTTCTATTGACATAAACCTATTGTAATTATTTTTTGATTATGTCACTTGGATGAACTATGTGATATTCCCCTCTGGTGTCTTAGTGATCTGGAATAAAAAAGGTATATAGAAAGGATAAGAAGAAGAGTAAATGGAATAGTGACAGAAATTTTCCTCTCTAAAAGTCTGACTCTTTTTCCATGGATGCTCAAAGCTGATCTAATATATATCTCTGTGCACTACACTTCAGTATGGTTATGTGATTAGTTGAAGAATATTTATTCTTTTTCATTATAGAAAGACAAGAAACTTGATCTAAAAGCTCCTAAAAAAGTGGGAATAAAGGAATGAAAAGGTGTTATGAGGAGTTGAGGTAGACAACTAGGGAAATGAGGTATGGGCTTTATTCATTCATAAAAGTTTTATAGGTGCTTGATTACTTTTATGCATCATAGAATTCCTAGTTTCCCTATTTTTTAATATTTTTTTTTTCCTCTTGGTTTAGTATTAATTTTCATTATCATAATTGGGAAAAGTATCAAATAAGTCACTTAACTTGTCAGTTTTGTGTAATTGGACCACTAAACTATAAACATATGCAGTTGTAGACTTGTAGCATTTGTGCAGGTCACCACCCGGTTCTAGGTGGTAACTGCTTAGTTCATTGCTTTCTTGGAAATTTTCATTGTCCCTCTAAAGTTGACATGGACAAAGGAGAAGATAAATTTCTTTTTTGTTCCTGTTTGTTTGCCAAATTGGAGAATAGTGGCGAGAAGCTAGGAGGCAGCCATTGCTTCCTTCATTGAGATTGGTGATGGAGGAAGCTAGGTGGCTTCTTCTTGATCCTGAGAAGAGGCAGCCATGAGCGACAAGAAGGAGCCCCCGTCAAGATTGGCAAAGGAGATAGCCATGGTGGTTGCCTCTTATGTCAATGAGCAACGAGAAGGGAGGAGGCGATGGCTGCCTCCATCAAGATCAGTGAAGGACGGATGCAGCCTTGATCTCCTCCATTGAGATTGGTGAAGGAGGCAGTCTTGGGTTTCGCCATTGAGATCGATGAAGAGTCACTAGTGTCAAACAAAGTAAAAGTTAGAGCATTATTCCACAACTATGCCACCATTATCTACCATAAAGCCCCATTATTCCACATTATTTCACCATTATTCAATCATGAAAACTCATAACTTTCTATCATTCACCATGAATAGCCATTAACCTACCATAAATGTCTTGTCATGAATACTGCATCCTTTTTCACTATTAAATGTTCCATGACCAAGGGAGAAGGGGAAAGAGCTCTACAACTTGACATCAAGACATTTAAGCATGGGAATAGTGTTTCTACAAGTTCTATAAAATCCATCAGAAACTTTAAGGATTATTCCTAGTCTGAGCACTACAATGTACATGTACTAACACACCCCAAAATATAGTGGAATTTGGCTTGGTTTAACCCAAAAAGGCTTGTGGTTTTCACCGTTTCGGTTTCCATTTTAAAACCTTGTGTCTTATTTACTTTATGCTGAAAGGCAAAGGATTATATTATCTGAAGCTCGAAAGAATAGATCACACAGATGCCACAATATATAGGCATACAAAAGAGACGCAATAATAAAACTATAAAAGTAATAAATGCTAAGGCTTCCCAAGGTGACTATTGAATATCCCAAGGAACCTAGAACAAAGTACACAAGATATACGAAAAGATAAAACATTACACTTTATACAATTTACTTCTTATTTTCCTTACAAATGTGTCACCTATGTAAACATGGTTGAATCTTCTTTTTCTGCATCATTGCTTCTATGATCTTAGGATAGTGATGTTATGGTTGGGAATACTATTGGAATGTCCATATCCAAAATTGGAAGGCATGTAAATTTTCTCCTATTAGGTGAAAGTTTCCTCAATTTCACCACTGCATTTGGTTATTTGTTGCTGGAGTATGTTACTGAATTCTTGCACATTAACAATTTAACACAGTATAATTTAGTGTTTTAGACTGAAATAATATCATTTTAAAATTATGTCAAGACAAATATTTAGCAGTTTCTATGTTAGTCATTTTTACACTCTTATGCTATCTCCTTTTCAACTGTAGGATAATAAATTCCGGGGGTACATTTCAGGACATTGTGGAAGCATACCTGGCATATCTACAAGTACGTCCCACACATGCTGACATTTGAGTACTGTTTATAGTCTGTTTTCAACTAAAAAACTCATTTGCTCTTTAACTTTTAAGTAAATTATATACATACATACACACATATACATATGTGTCGATTGTGTGTATTGCTCCTCTTTTCTGAATGGGAGATGTTTATTTCCCACATAAAAGAAAAGAGAATGAACATTCATAATGATTGGGCTTGTTAAACTTAGACTCATGCCTCATCTATTGTTCTGTCCTATTTTCAGATAACAGTGGTTAATCCTGCCATGGATGAGGCATTACTAAGTCTGCAGAAGTTTGCAAGTGATGCACATAGTGGACGAATTCCAAAAGACAAATTGTGTTTTGGAGCTCCTTGGAGAAATCTTCCGCATACTGGTGACGAGGCCTCTTGTCGTGAGTGGGCTAAGATTCAACTAATGGACTTTCTTCAGTCTCTAGTCAATGCAGAATTTGGGGTATCTTTCACCTTCTAAGTCTATTTTCATGGTCTTGTGTGCAAGCATTTTAGCTCTAAAACTGGCTCATTTACCTACCTTTTCTGATTATCCTTCCATGATTCTGAATACCTGAAATTAGAAACAAATTTGGTACTTTTTGAATCTTTATATTGTAGCCCACCAGAGGGATGTGGGGGAAGTGGCTTTTCTTGTGAATAAAGCTCATATGTATTTATATTTACCAGTGATATTTTCATTTTAAATATCTCGAAATAACGAACTTTATAAATGAATGGATGCTCGTGGCTGCATTCTTTGCTTGTTAGTGTAGTTGCATTACATGTATAATAAACATTGCACCATATTTGGGGCTATTATTCAAATCCTTCATCATATTTTTGGTGATTGGGTATTTTTTTGCAGCTAAATTACCTAAAAGAATGCAGTCTTGAAATTTTCGATGATCCATGTGCTGTTGCATTAATAGAGGTACGGTACTCCTTGTTTCCTTAGATTATGCTCTGAATGTAATTTTACTCTGCCTTACTGCCGCCTTTCATTATCACATTTACACGAATTACCCCTTTTTTTGTATGATGCTAAGCACAGGTCACTCTATTTCAAAGCTGCCAAGTATTATACTGTGTTTATGCAATTTCAAAAATGTTATGTCCATTAGGAAAACTGAATAAACAAATGCCCATTTTTCTTGCACCCAATTTTTTATTTTTGAAGTTAACGTGTATCCTAGGTTGGCTTGCTTTATGTGCAACGGGATCTACCCCTTATTCGCCCTGTATCTCGGGGCATTCAGAGGTGCATGATCAGATGGTAGGATATACTTCCAAATTTTACTTTTTCTGAAGCTCTAAGGTCTATCCTCATTTTACCTTCTGCAATCTGCTGCAGGCTTATTCAGGAGCAAATGGAAATGAGCTTCAAGAACATGTTGCAGTTTAAATGGCAGCGAGTTATGCGAGGCAGGAGTTATCGTCATCTATTGAAGCATGTTGATACGCACCCAAAAGCAACATGATAAAGGAAGGATGCAAATCAGGCAAATCAGAATATACAAGGGAAGGCTTAACTCAAGGGATTTGACAGAAATACATCAGAGGCATAATCATCTCAACAATCATCTCCTTTTCTATGATTATTTATTTCCTAGCCCTATAAATTAGAATCTCTAGATGAGAGTAAATGCGATTATGCCAACTACTTTTCATTTGGTATTATTGAGCATATCTTTCGATGAGTTAAGCAAATTTTGCTTTAGGCTTCACATCACACAATAATCTGTTGAAAGCATTGCATAATCTGTTTTTTCTTCAATAGATATTTGTATCCAATGAATATAGATGATGATAATGATCAGTTTGGATAGCAGTTTGTGTGTACAACACTCCATAAAGAATGAGTGAAAATAGAGAGTTCCTTTTCGGAATGAGTAAAAAAGTATGTATCAAACAATCTGTGTGATGGATCTCAAAAAAATGGGTATGGACCACAAAAATGGATATTTTTAGAAAATTAAAATAAAATAAAATTACAGCTAACACTACTAAGGAAGATTCAACCCAATGCTTATAAGGGAACCTGTGTAGACCATGACCAAAATGACGATAAAGAGACGGCATAGTTAATGCCGCCAATAAAAATTGTGTGACTTGCATTTCTTTTTTTTTTTTTTTAAAGGAATAACTAACCAGGGTTAAATGGATTATCGAATTACACATTAAACTCAAAAATATATAATTAGGTCCTTAAACTAATCAATTTCATACAATTAATTCTATATATATATATGTATATATATATATATATATATATATATATAAGGGTTCATGTGCGGGTATAGCTTTCCGTGCGTTTAGATTTGAGTCGTTGATCAAATCTAGATCAACGGCTCAAATCAATGAAAATTAAAAAAAAAAACGCGTGTCTGGAAGAAAGCCATGCACCTTTAAGTGTTAGATCTTAAGCACAAACTCACGCACATTAAGTACAAAACCCACGCACATTAAGCACAATCTCACGCACATTAAGCACAAAACCCACGCACTTTAAGTATTAACTCACAAACTTTAAGTTTCAACAATTACTGACATTAATCACTAACCTCACACACATTAAGCACAAACCCTACGCAAATTAAGAACAAACTCCACTCACATTAAGAACAAATCTCACGCACCTTAAACACAAAAGCCCACACTTTAAGTTTTACCAACTACTCACATTAAGCACAACCCCACACACATTAAGCACAAAACTCACGCACCTTATGCACAAGACTCACGCATCTTATATACAAAACTCACGCACATTAATCACAGAACCGCTCACATTAATTTTGACCTAGATTCAAAAATTATAAAATTGCCACCGCGTTTTTTTTTTTTTTTTTTTTTTTTTAAATTTTGGTAATCCTAGACGTCTATTTAAGCGAGATGAATGACCCAGATTAAATCGTACAACCGCACCTGAGTAGTCTAACCGCACCAAAACCTAATTCTAATATATATATATATATATATATATATATATATATATATATATATATATTGAGAGAGAGAGAGAGAGAGAAAGAAAACTGATGAAATGAGAACGAGCGCTAGTGAACTAGGAATCAATCACAACCGTTCATCTGAAAAGATCTAACATATCAGAAAGTAATTTTTTGAAAACAAAGTGGTGACATTTTTATAAATATTTAAAATTTGAAGTACAAGTAAATTGTGTTAATATATATATATATTTATTTATTTATTTATTGTTGTTGTTGTTGTTGTTATTATTATTATTATTATGCAAATGTCCTAATATGTCTTTTTACATGTTATCGTTAATAGTAAATATCTAATTTTATCAAATATCTTTTACAAATCGTTAGTCAAAACCGCTAACAAAATCTACTAATCGCTAACCGATAATCATTTCGCTATTGCTAATCACTAACTGTTTATTGCCAAAGAAGCCCATTATATTTGTTTTAAAATTATTTTGTGGTAATCCATATTTGTTATTTAACTATTTATTATTGATTTGAAGCACTTTTTTTTTAATTATTAATGTAATATTTTTAATTATGAAATAATTAATATTTATGCACATTAGAAAAAATGTTTACAAATATACTCTTAGAATTCAGTTCTCATGCGGTTGGGTGTTTCCCGTGCGGTTGTGCGGTTATATTTGAGCCATTCATATTGCCCAAATCAACCTTCAGGATTAACAATGATTAAAAAAAACGCAGTGATGATTTTTTTTTTTGTTTTTTTTTTTTTGTTTTTTTTTGTTTTTTGTTTTGTTTTGTTTTGTTTTTTTTTTTTTTTTTTTGCATCTATGTCAAATTTTAGGTGCGTGGCTTTCCTTCTTAAGGTGCGTGGTTTGTGTGCTTCAGGTGTGTCAGTTGTTGAAACTTAAGGTGCGTCGGACCAAAGCTTAAAGTGCATGATTTTCCTTCTTAAGGTGAGTCAGTTGTTGAAACTTAAGGTGCGTGATTTCCTTCTTAAGGGCGTTATTTTCCTTAAGGTGCGTGATTTGTATGCTTAAGGTGTGCATCAGTTGTTGAAACTTAGCAAGCGCCATTTTAAAACTTTAGTGGCCCGTTTGGTTCACGGAATAAATTTGGAGGGAATAGAAATACTATTCCATAGGGAATGAAATATGTAATGAATAGAATATAAATTGTATTCTGTTGTTTGGTTTGCTGAAGGAATAGACATTGGGAATTGTATTCCAATGTTTGGTTGGTTAAGGAATAGGAATGAATATATGTTTAAAAAACATAAATGCCTTTGTAAAAAAATAACAACAACAACAACAACAACAACAACAACAACAACAACAACAATAATAATAATAATAATAATAATAATAATAATAATAATAATAATAATACTATTACTATTACTATTACTATTACTATTACTATTACTATTCTTCTTCTTCTTCTTCTTCTTCTTCTTCTTACAAGTTTGATTATATTGTTAATATGGATTGTCTCAAATCACAATTGATTATACTGTTAATATGGAGGTTTGCGAGAAAATTGGTCCTTCAACTTTCTGCCGATGGCCACTCCGGCCGGTGATGATCCTTCCTCCATCCTCAGGGAAGTCAGGGGGATACATGGAGGGGATCGCCTTCGACAGCAGTCCAATTGGACGTCATCGAAGAAGGCCTTTCTTAGCCGTGATGGCGATCGCATCTTCGCGTCGTCAATGGCGGCGCCGGGGGTCTCGGGGCTTCTTCAGGATGGCGATGCCTCTTTCAACAACCGGGGGTCATCGCGGATGCTCCACGAGGTGATCGGTAAGCTCAGGATGAAGATAGGCGTTCGGATGGAATTTCTAGGGTTTGCGATCGCAATTGCGACCTTGCTTCGTCAATGGTGGTTCCAACCACATTCCCGGCTGGTGACAACCTTTCTCACCCCACCGGAGGTATCGTGGGGACTCAGCGGATGGATTGCCGCGATCAGATGGCCGATCGCTCGTCGCGGGGGACGTGCGAAGTTCTTGATCCCTCGTCTTTTGGGGTGGCGGCTCCGGTGACGTCCTTGGCCGGCGATGGTCTTGATCGACGACAGGGGGTCATCCTGCGATTATATCGTAGAGAGAGAACAAGAGAAAAATAGGTTAAGCAACAAGGATAAAATTGAGAAAAAAAAAACTATTCCTGAGTCTTCAGGAATAGGTTAATACCATGGGGGGCCTGGTAATAACTATTACTTTATTTGGGGGAATATGCTATTACTAGTAGTATTGTCAAAGCGCGGTGGCCCGTTCCACAGCTGGCTTAATTTTTTGCGGACTTTTGCGGGCCGGCTCACCAAGCCCGCGACTAGAGTTCGTGCAACCCTAGCCCGCCCCGCGCGGGTTGGCGAGCTCTACAGGCCGGCCCGCGGGCTTTTTTTAGTGTTTAAAAATTTTTAAAATTAATATTTTAAAAATATTAATCTTATATATATATATATATATATATATATATATATATATATATATATATATATATATATATATAGTTAGGATCATATGAGAACATGTGCTTAGGTGAGAACGTGAGAACACATCATGTGCATCCATCAAATATTTTTTTAATGGTCTAGATTAGATTAAGTGTGTGCGAACGCGCATTAAATGTGTGCAAACACACTAAATCGCGTTTGCACACATTTAATGCGTGTTCGCACACACTTAATCTAATCTAGATCATTAAAAAATATTAGATGGATGCACATGATGTGTTCTCACGTTCTCACCTAAGCACATGTTCTCACTGGAACTCTACCATATATATATATATATATATATATATATATATATATATATATATATATATATATATTCGTTACACAGCAAGACAGAATTCTGCCTTGTTGTGTTACATTATATATATAAATAAATATATTATATATTATATAGAATTATATATATAATGTTACAGAGCAAGGCAGAATTCTGCCTTGCTGTGTAACGTATATTTATTTATTATTATTTTTCTTTTGTAATAGGTTTAGCCCGCGGCTGGCCCGCAGCCCGCGTAGGTTGCGGGTTAATTTTGGCCCGCTCCGTTAGGCCAGCATTTTTACGAGCATGTTTTTCTATGACCCTAACCCGCTCCATCGCGGGGCGGGGGCGGGCCAACTCGCGGGTTTCGGCCCACTTTGACAGTACTAGTTACTAGGAATATTATTTCTAGTAATAGAAATAGTTATCAAACAAAGGAATAGATCTATTGCTGTGAATGCTATGACATTCCCAGCCTATTTCGTGAACCAAACAAGCAGTAGGTGTGTTGTTTGTGTTCTTAAGGTGCTTTGTTTGTGTGCTTAAGGTGCGCAATTTGTGTACTTAAGGTGAGACAACATTTTAAAACTTTCCGTGCGTGGTTTGTGTTCTTAAGATGCTTTGTTTGTGTGCTTAAGGTGCGTAGCTTGTGTTCTTAAGGTGCATCATTTTAATGTTTAAGGTGAGTTTTTTTTTTTTTAATTTTTTTTTTTATTTTTTTCTAACTACACAACCGCACAAGAAGCTATACCCACACCTGAACCCTTCAATATACTCCTATATGGCTAGATAATTTTATATTTGCACATTTTCCCTGCGTTTTGTTTCACATATTTTTTAAAATTTTCATTTCTCCATTTCTCGTTTTATGTTCTCCCATTTTCCATTTTTGTGATACATAGGGACACAATGAAGCATAAAGTGTAATTTTTATTTTTTATTTTTGAAAACATAGAGTAATTTTATTAAGAGAAAATTACACTTTTGGTCATGTGACTATAGGAGACGTGTTAATTTCGGTCCATGGCTTTTGAAACT